AATGATCTGTCCTATAAAGAAATCTGATTCCTCACTGAATGACTTTCCACATTTATTAAACTTATAAAGTTTTCCCTACATATGGATATTTGAATGAGAACACTATTACCACTTCTCAGCAAAAGCATTTGAAAATGATAACATTTGTAGGACTTTCTTTTTCCTGTATAATAATAACTCTCAGAATCACCTAGAGAGTTTATTGTTTCTGACTTCATAGGTCTGCCCAAGACTTTGCATTCCTAATACATTCCCAGATGCTGCTGCTGCCACTTGTGTTCCAGAAACCACACACTGGGAACCACTGCGATGGCAGCGTTCTGATGGACAGGAAGGGCTGACTTCCCGCTGCCTGACTTTAGACACCACTGACATTCAAATGGATTCCCCGTGTGTGTATTCTCTAATGCATTAGTATGTTTAAGGGTCTCCTCCAACCAAATGATTTCTCACATTCTTGTTACAGGCAAGTTCCCAGCCTGTTCCCCTGCCCTCCCATCCAGGGTCAATTCTGAGAAAAGGCTTCAGAACAAAGAAGCATGGGAAATCCCCAAGTTCACAAAACCACCCTAGTCCCTGGTGAACAAACAATTGTGGGAAACCTACTCAAGCTGTAACCATTGTTACCCAAGCTGTAACCCCACCCTGAGCTAACCAAAACGTTTGGCTTCTGTACTGGCCTGCTTGCAAAAAGAGTATAAAAAAATCACCTGCCCCCCACTTCAGGGCCACCTGTCTTTCAGAGCAGTGGTCCTCTGCGCAGGTGCAAATAAATCTCCAAGTCATTACATCTAAGTGGGGTCCGAGTCTATGTTTCCAGATCACAACATTCTCACATTTATTACATTGTTACAGAGCTTCTTCCCTATGTGTGTTCTCTGAAGTACAGTGAGGGTTGAATTGTCAATGATAGATGGTCCCCAGTCTTTACATTTCTAGTGTTTCTCTCATTTACAAACTCTGTCATGTGTAGCAAGACCTGATCTCTTGGGTGGCACCTATGGCTCAAAGGAGTAGGGCACTGGCCCCATAGACCAGAGGTGGAGGGTTTCAAACCTAACCCTGGCTAAAAAAAAAAAAAAAGAAAAACAAACAAAAAAAACAAAAAATAAACAAACAAAGTGAGACTCTGTCTCAAAAGAAAAAAAAAAAAGACCTGATCTCACAATAAAGTATCTGACACATCTATTATGTTCATAGAGTATCCCCCATGTATAGTACAACCCACATGTATAACAAGGGTTGATTATGCCCAAATTACCTCAGACACAATTTACATCGAGGTTCTCATCTGCATGAGTTCTCTTATGATGTGTTTGGAGATGTCTTTCTGAGCAAATGATTCCAACATTCGTTACATATTTCACACATCACATTATGTATTACATACGTTTTTCCCCGTGCGTGTTCTCTGATGTGTAATAAAGGATGACTTGTTAACATTGGATTTCCCACACACCCACACACATTACACTTATATAGTCTTTCTCCTGTATGAGTTCTCTGATGTAAAATAAAACAAGACTTCCTACCAGAGAATTTGCCACATTCATTACACTCGTGTTTTTCCCCTGAAGGCATTCTCTGATGTACAATAAGATTTAATTGCTGCCTAAATACTTTTCTGTATCCAATACATTCACCGTTCTTTTTTCTGTGTATGTTCTGTGATGGACAACAAAGGCTGACTCATCCCTGAGACCTTGACTACAGTTCTGTCTTTCACAAACACTCTTCTAAGGAATACGAACTACTTTGTCAAGGAAGGTCCCTTAGATGCAGAAGTTTAATTGGTGATGGTCTCATTTGCCTAAAGTCCTTGTCATTTTGCTTGCTGTCAGAGTCTTTCACTCGCGAAAGTGTCTTCTTGGTATCATGAAGAGCGTCACCACATTCAGTGCTGTCACTGGGACATCTTTCAATACAGTTTTCCTTTCCAAAAATACTCCCACCATTGGTTTCAAACTGTGTCCACATGAGCCATCTTCATGGGGAAGTTTCACTTGCAGGAACAAGAGTTGAACTAACAGCAAGTATCTTTTCAAATTCATTACCACTCTCTTTAAGCAATGCTTTGTTTGGCAGGAATATAATTCCCTTCAGTGCTTGTAAGTTCATGCATGGTACAAAACTGCATAAATCAATCCAGGATGTGGCAGGGGACAGGTCAGACTTCCTAGATCTGCCTGGAGTCCAGCCTGGAAGAGGAGGCCTCAGGCAGAGTGTTCCCTGGGCCTATGCCACCAGGGGCCACTGTCTCACTAATAATCCTACTTGTCTCCCATGGGGGCTCAGGAAGCTGTCTTCTCAAACCACCCAAGATGAGTCTAATGCAGTCTCCTTCCCTCAATGCTTCCAGTCCCCATTTCTCTTTCTTCTCCTTCTCTTCCCCTTCTTCTTCTTTTTCCTTTTCTCCTCCTCCTCCTCCTTCTTCTTCCTCTCTCTCTCTCTCTCACACACACACACACACACACGCACACAGAGACACACACACATACACACACTAGTCTGTAGACCTAGTGACTAGGCTGGCTGGCTTCCTCCTTCCCCTCTGGAGTTTTTATCAATGTCTTTGTAGACTAAAACAATCCCCTTCTCCTTCCCACTCCTACCTGGGGAGCATTACAGAGTTTTGAAAATCTCTACTACCCATAACCTACCTCATTTGAGTCTCACAACGGCATTGCCTATGGCCAGGGGGAAGGAATCATAGTCTCCTTGGCAGAAGAGGAAACTAAGGCACAGAAAGTGAGTAAGGGAACATATGCAGAGCCAGGAGCCTATTGGTAGGCGGGAGCCCCTTCCCTCCAATCCTCTTGCTGAGGGCCACTGGCTTTGAGAGAACCTTCGTGAACAGGGCTCATTTCCAAACAAGCCAAGAGAACTGCTTCCCTACCACTGACTTGCTATGTACGTGACCTTGGGAAAGTCCCTTCTCTGAGCCACTATGGCGTGTGAGCCCCATTCTAATATTGTCAGATATATTCTATGACAATATTGTTGGTGCCTGAATAATCTCCACCCCTTTGGGGATCCCAGGGTCTGCCATCAAAACTCAAGAGGACTTGCAACAGAGCTAACAGTACTGTGCATTATAATAGTAATGATACACATCTCCATTTTTCAACTGCAGTGGGCTTTAAATGACAGTCAACATTTAAAGGGTTCCTTGCAGGAGGTGGGCACTGTTGGTATCCCCATTTTACAGATGAGGAAACTGAGACTCAAAGAAATGAAGAAAGCAGCTGAGCCAGGATTAGAGCCTAGGCGTCAAAGGGCAGGCTCTTGCTTCTACTGTAAGCGGCAAAGAGAAGTTTCTGGAAGTCTGCTTTTGAAACTCAAATTCCACTGCGGAGGTCTGTGGCCTTTGAATCCCCCTCTCCAGAACTAAAGCCCCTCAGTTGACCAACAGGTATCAAGGGAACTGCAGTGGGAGGGAGAGTACAGACTGGCAGGATGGTGTTCCCAGCCTCCTCCCAGCCTCCTTCAGCCAGCCCTTCGTCCCGGGCCCACAGACACTGTAGCCCAGCCACAGCCCGTGAGCAGATGCAGGTTTATTATTGCACAGATGGGAGCATCCTGAACCCTCACCCCAAACGCCAGCCCCCAAACCAGGCCTGAGGGCCCTGGCAGCCAAAGACTTGTCCCCGGCCCCAGACCAGGTCAAAAACCCAGGACAATCAATCATCTCAGAGCCAAGGCCTGGGGCCTGTTAGCACTGAGCAGTGCCCCCACCCTCACCTCCCCACTTTCCCAGGGGTGGGGAGAAGAGTCCAAATGCAGATGCTGAGCCCTGGGCCTCGCTGGGAGGGAGGATCCATAGGCTCTTCACAGAAATGCAGGCCTAGGTCCCAACCAAACCCTGAGGCCCCAGCAGTGGTTGAAGCAGCAAGTGTGAAGCTGGAGAGAAGGTTCCCAGCACTGACTGGGGGAAGGAAAGCTGGCTTCAGCCTAAGGAAATGTCCAGGTTCCAGAGCTGCCGGGGGAGGCCCAGCCACAAGGCAGGACAACAGCAGTTCCCTCCAGCTCAGCTTGGTGTCCTCACTGCACCCTTCCCAGACTTGGAGGGGCCTGGAAGCCCTTTCCCTCCTCTTTCTGGAGCCAATGTGGTATAAAACATCTTTGAGTAAGGTACATGCAAGTACTGTCTTCCGCCAAACAAGCCAAAGAGGCCATGGTCACACAGATGGCACCCAGTTGGAGCCCACACTTGCTCCCCTCTCCCTGGGAAATGCCTCTTCACAAGCAGCCTGTCCCCAGCACCTGCACAGTCTGCTCCAGGGAAATCTCCCTGGGCTTCCATGCCATGCTCCCTGAGCTCACAGTGGGCCCTGGTGGGGGAAGAGGACAAAGCACTCCTCAGGGCATCACAGCAGCTATCTCCAGTCCCAGGGCTCCTGCACGTGACCTGTCAGCACCCCAAGCACACTGGAAGCCCCAAACACAATCCTAGCCTCAAGTTCAGACACACGGAAACACAGGGCCCAGAATTACTGCCCCTTAACCCCTCTTCCCAACCCCACCCCCAGCCACTAGGCTAGTGGCTTCCCACCCTGAGACTCCATTGTCCTCCTCTTCTATTGGTCCAGAAAGGAACTAACTGGACTGGTGGGAGGAGACAGAGCACAGTGTCCTGGCAGATTCACACCGAGCTTGTCCATGTCCTCTGTTGTCCAGAACATCTGAAAGCAAGGGAGGGAGTGTGCACTGCGTCTGTCTAGCACAGGGAAGGGGCTCTACACAGGTCTGAGGGGGTCTCCCTTGCCCACCACAGCTTCCCCAGGAGGCCTCAGCCCACAGTCATAGGGGTCGGGTAGGAGGGAGAGGGACCTAATTAGGTGACTTCTCCCCAAAACACACAAAAGCCCAGGGAGGGGACGACCTAGGCAAGGTGCGATAGAGGATGAGGATGAGGGATAGGAGCGGATCTGGAAGCTCAAAGGACCAGGGCTCTTATTTGGGGGCTTCCCTTGCCCCATGGCAGAGAGCAGGAGGTTCCCAGCACATTCCATTCCTCCTGGCACCACCAGCCCCCCAGTGCAGGCACCCCAGGAGTCTTCCTTAGACATCTGTGTTGCGAATGTGAGTTGGACCCCAGGTCTCCAGGTCCAGAGTCCAGTCCTCCTTGGCCACCCTGCCTGGCTTTGCAGAAAGATGGGTCCTCATGTCCTCAGCAGGAACTCCTGGCTCTGCAAGAGATCGCAACAGAGTCAGCAGAAGGAGAGAGGAAAGAGCTCTGAGGATGAGTCACTTACAGGGCTTAAGCCTCAGGCTTGATCTTCTCTGGGGCAAGGCCCCACCTCTGCATCCCCAAGACAGCCTCAGCTGTTGGGTCAGATGGTCAGTGGAACCAGGAACAAGTCCCCAAGGCCTCTCCTGGGCCTGGATCCCGGTCTCTATTTCTACACACATTCTATCCCCTTTGCTCCCCTCCTGCCTCCTCCCCCACTGTCTCTGATTCACTCCTTTTCATCCTAAAGTGATAGGTGCCTGCAGGAGCATTCCCAGGTCCCCTGTGAAACATGAAACCCATGGAGCCCAGCATTCACCCCCACGGCAACATCCATGAGGCTAATGCTGTCATTGGCTATTTACATGGTGACAGCACAGACTATTCTGGGACCTGCGACTGAAGAACCTATAGCCCCGCTAAACTAGGATTTTAAAAAATGGGGTCTTTGGGGGAGAGGTGGCTGGGCAAGAGGCAGGAAGTCTGTTAGCATCACCAAGCCCGGGATTTAGGCTGTAAAGGCTGGTCCTAGCAGGAGATACTTCATTCTGAGACCAGTGAGGATCATTCTCCAGCTCAGTCCAGCCCCCCCCCACCCCGCTTCTCACAGGACCTCACCCGGCCCTCCAGTGCCACCTTGGGGAGCCAGCTGACAAAGGAAGGGTTTGGGGACAGAGGGTTAATGACTGAGGTAGGGGAATAGAGATAAGTTCGTCCCACCATCCCAGGGGGATTCGATCTAGATGTGGAAATTTGGGGGTGGGGGAGAATCAAGAGCCATTTAGCTTGATGTTTGAACTTTAAGACTTTCATGTAATGAGCTGTGAGTTGAGGAAGGGGTTTACTGTCATCTTCACCCTATTCTTAAAGTAGGAGTGAGTCCCAGCTTATCCCAGCTCCCAGCAGGGCAACTTCTCAGTGAATGTTGGTTAAATGAATGAATGAATGAGCCAGTGAATGAAGCCCCCGTGCTTACCCAACATTCAGCAGGTACTCTGAAAATGCTGAGCTAATGAAGGGTTGGGGGTGCGTGTGTGTTGGGAAGACATGATCTGCCAAACCCACACTCTGGGGCCCTGCTTCTGCTGGGCGATGGGCCCCAATTAGTCACTTACCCAGTACAGGGTAAGCCCCCCTGTCCCTCCACCCTTGAGCCCAGAATTCCCACCCCTCCTCCAGCCGGCTGCACCTAGCAGATGAGGGTCAGGTCAGGAGGTGAACGAAGAGGATGGCCAGGCCGATGTTGAGCAGGATCACCATGCAGATGAGGACGGTGTTGGGGACCTGGAAGCAGTGGAGAGAGGGTACCTGAGTGCATGTGGCCTCTGAGACATTCCCACCCAGGTCACAGCTAGGCTGAACTTCTGGAAGTACCCTCCTAAGAGCATCCCTGCTTCATCCACTACAGTACCCAGGAACTGGACGGCAGCTGTCACAGCTGCAAGCACTCTTGGAAATCATGAACCGAATCCCTCAAGGTCCAGAGAAGAATGGGAGCATGTCTAGAACCACACAGCATGCAGAACTGGCCTGGAACCCAAGTGCTCCACCTTCCCGACTGCTTATTCCTCTGGGGACACATTCTTCAGTCCCTCAGAGCCTTGCTGCTGCCTCCCTGGCTCCCCACCTCTGCAAGCCCAGAGGTCCACAGCCCAAGCCCTTTTGCCCCCCCCCACCACCACCACCAAACCCTCCCCCTACATCTTGTACCAGCTGGTGCCAAAGCCAGATCCTCTTGACTTGGCGTGGGCACCTACCCTCCAGCTGCTTAGGCTCCCAGCTGCCCCCTGCTCCAGAGATCTGCCTCTGCTGCTGGGACACCAGCCTTAAAGTGGGAAGACTGCCATGGGTTTGGGCTTCCAAGACCTCTGAGGATCAGGCCAAGGCTACACTCTGCTAATCCAGAGCCCTGCTGGGCTTGTCCCTCTCTGCCCTATCCTACTTCCATCTCCCCCACCCCAGCAGCCCTGGAATCACTTGCACCTGAATCCTGCCTCAAGCTCCACCGCCTCCCGGGAACCTGACCTTGAACGCTCCTCAGGCACAGCCTCACCTCTTCCACTTCCACCTCAGCCTCTGCTGCCAGCGCTGCCTCCTTCCGCGCCTTCTTCTTGGCCCCGGCCTTGGTCAGCCCCCGGGCCTCAGTCTTGCGGGCCTTGGCCCTGGGCTCAGCTTTGGGGACGATGGGCTTGGGCTCCAGCTTGACCGGGCTCTCGGGTGCGGGGCCCCGGAGCGCGGGGGCGTGCACCGAGGCGGAGGCCGGGGACGAGGGCGCGGTGGACGGGGACGAGGGTGCGGAGTCGGGCCCGGAGAGCTCAGGCTCCGGCTCCTCCTCGAAGGGCGGAGGCTCGGGCGGCGCGGTGCGCACGGCATAGCTGTGGTAGCCCTGGTAATGCGCCACCTCGGGCTCCCGCGACGGCGAGGGCGGCGCTTGCAGCGCCTCGATGGCCATGTGCTCCGTGGCCGGGCGCGCGGGGCTGCGGCGACCCGCGCCCTCGGACGGCGTGGTCGGCCGACTGCCCTCGCCACCGGGCTCCCCGTTCCAGGACCCCGGACCCAGCAAGCCGTCCTTGGACGCCGTTGGCCGGGGTCGCTTGGGCTGCGGGGGCGTCCCAGCCGGCGACGGGGGACCGGCCTCGGGCCGAGGGGTCTCGCGCTCGTGCAGCTGTGGGCTCTCGCGGGCTCGCTCCGGGAGGCCCGCGGCGCCCGCGCCTCGCTCCGGGGGCTCCAGCAGGCTCTCCGAGTTCTCCAGAATCTCCTGGAGCAGCCGGCGTTTCTGATATTCCGGACCTACCAGGGACAACACAAGGAGGTTGGATTGCACCCCCGCCCACTGGTGGGTGATCCTGGGCCAGCCACCCAACTTCTCTGAGCTCATTCACTCACAGTGGCAGGCACTGTTCTAAGCAATTTCCAAACTCGTTCAATCATTTTAGTAATGCTATGAAGTTGATGTTATCGTAAATCTCCATTTTACATATGAAGAAAGGGAGGCTCAGAGAGGTTCAATCACTTGCCCAAGGTCATACAGCTGGCCAAAGAAAGGGCAAGGCCAAGGGTAGCACCCAGGCAGTCTGGCTCCAGAGACAATGCTCTTAATCGTGACCTGTCTCTTTCCATTCCCTTGTCTGAGAAGCGGAGCTCAGCATACCTATTTCATAAATACTAATGGGGGTTAAATGAGAGAAGGCGTGTAAAATGCTGAGCTCAGGGCCTGGCACCAGCAGCTTTATACGACCATGCAGGGCAAGTGTCGCTCTTCTTGGGACCAGCAGGGGGAGCACTGTGACCAAAAGTGACATCCTTTCTGGCACAGATAAGCGCTTCCAGGTTTCTCTATAGTCTCCTTTGGTCTCCTTTCTGCAGCCAGAATAATGTTTAGAAAACACAAATCTGGGCAGGGTGTGGTGGCTCATGCCTGTAATCCTAGCACTCTGGGAGGCTGAAGCAGGAGGATCACTTGAGCTCAGGAGTTCAGGACCAGCCTGTGCAAGAGCAAGGCACCTTCTCTACTAAAAACAGAAAAATTAGCCAGGTGCATTGTGGTGGGCGCCTGTAGCCCTACTTAAAAGGCTGAGGCAGGAGGATCGCTTGAACCCAGGAGTTCGAGATTGCTGTAAGCTAGGCGGAGCCTGTGGCACTCTAGCCCAGGCAGTAGAGTGGCAGAGTGAGAATCTTATCTCAAAAAAAAAAAAGAAAGAAAGAAAAGGGAAGGAAGGAAAGAAGTATGGAAGGGAGAAAGGAAGGAAGGGAGGAAGGAGAAAAGAAAAGAAAAAAGGAAAAGAGAAGAGAAAAAAAGGAAAAAAACCCCACAAATCTAATCATGTCACTCACTCATTGCAGAGAACTCCAGTCTCCCACCCTCAAGGGGCTCACCCCTCACCCAAGCACAAAGTCTGTGTCAGAGTCAGGAGGGCCTCCTCACACTTATCACCCACTGCCTATTTTATGATCTAGCCTCCCAGCATGCCACTCTGCTCTCAGTTTTTGCGCTTTTGTACCTGCAGTCCCATCCTTTTGATGCACCTGTCCTAAACTACTTGGTGCCATAGTTCTCTGTGTGGTCCCAGCCTAGCAGCATCCACATCACCTAATCCTTAGAAATGCACATTCACAGGCTCCATCCCTAACCTACTGAGTTAGAAACTCTGGGTGTGGGCCCAGAAATCTGTCCAGTTTGAGAGCCACTGTCTTGATAAACCCTTATCCAGCCTTCCAGGTGCAGCTCAAATGGCCTGTCGCAAGGGTACCCTTCCCCAACACCTCCCCTTTCCTAAATGGGTTAATTACTTTCTGTGAGCACCCATAGTCCCTGTTCTAACGGCACAGCACTCATCACGCTGTGTGAAACTTAACCATAATAGTGAGACAACAACCACAGTCTTTGAGAGCTAATTGTGGACTGGACACACACTTAACAGGCATTTAATACGTTCTCAAAAAGGTAGGCATTATTCTTCCTACCATTTCACAGACCAGGAAACAGCAGTTTCTGTAGGTTAAAGACCTTGCCCAAGGTCTCATAGTTGATAAGCGTGGAGTTAGCATTTGCCATGTGATTTTTCTGCTCCTCGAGATTCTGGACCCCACTTATGTATTCCCAAAGGCCGCCCCTAGTGCCTGACACATGGACAGTACTAGACTGAAACTGTTGAGCAAGGGCAAGAAGCCTTTTGCTCCCTCATCCACCAGTGACTCTCCCCACTAAGCTCCATCAGCTCTAGCTGTCTGCCCCGCTCCAAGCAGAGAAAGGGGCAACCTGCAGTACCTCCCCTGCCGCATCACAAGCTCTGCATGAAGGCAGCCATTTGTCCCTCCACATCCCCTAGCATCATCCCATCCCACGTTAGGGAGTATCCTACCATGCCCCACAGTTTCCAAAACTCACAGGCATTCAGGAACCCATTTAAGCATCTCCGCTTTCAGCATGCGAAGAAAAATTCCCACCCCAGGACTGTCCCCATCCTGTTCTATCCACCTCTCCCTGGCAGGCCCTACCTGGCTGGTAGAAGTCCGGTGCCAGCTCCCTGGCTAAATTGCGGGCAATGCTGGACTCCTGGTTGGCAGCCAGGGCGGCCTGTTCCGACGCTTCAGCTTTGGCTTTGGCATGGCTCGTCCTATGGAAACAAGATGATAGGAAGCTCAGGATCCTGCTAGAGAACCAGCCTCTGCCCCTTCTCCCCAACCCACACAGAGACACCCTGGACAGAGAGATGAGTCACTCAGTTCTCGATGAATGTTTATTGGTGCTGTACATTCCCCCAGACTGGTTTCTTTTCTTCTTGCGTACACAGCTAGACTACATTTCCCAGCCTCCTTTGTGGTTAGGTGTAGTCAGGTGACTGAGTTCTACAGTGCATTGTGGAAAGGCATAATGTATGGTATTTCCAGGCCTGGCCCATAAAAACCTCTGTGCCTTCTCTTTGTCCTCCTGTTGCTGGTTGAAGGTAGAGGGGGCCACAGCCTCAGAACCGAGTACTTAACCTCTTTTGTGTCACAGATCCCCTTGGCAGTCTGGCAAAGCCTATGGATCCAGCTCAGCGCCTGTGGCTCAAGTGGCTAAGGCGCCAGCCACATACACCTAAGGTGGCAGGTTCTAATCCAACCTGGGCCCACCAAACAACAATGATGGCTGCAACCAAAAAATAGCCAGGCGTTGTGGCAGGCACCTGTGGTCCCAGCTACTTGGGAGGCTGAGGCAGGAGACTCGCTTGAGTCCAAAAGTTGGAGGTTGCTGTGATCTGTGATGCCACGGCACTCTACCCAGGGGGACATCTTGAGGCTCTGTCTCAAAAAAAAAAAAAATCCTATGGATCCCTTCTCAGAATAATGTTTTAAAATGCGTAAAATACATAGGATTACAAATGCAGGCAGTTATGTTGGCATCCTGTTACCAAAATATGTACTTTGAAAGAACAAATTTGTAATAATAATCTATGTCATTAACACGTTAAAGTATTTATCAAATCTAATAACTACTGTAATTTAAAAGTACAGATTGGCATAAAGGGTATTTTGAGGACAGCAGTAATGACAGTAATGTGACAAGAAATCACATGCGGTTTCTGTATAGCTCCTGGTAACAAAATTACAGATACTACTAATACTACTATGGTTTATTGCCTACTTCCATAATTGCAGAAAATGCTAAGTTTTGCTTAGAGGTTAATAAAAATAAAGATGTAGCTTTCCCCATCTGTAGTAGATACTTCTGGTGCCCTACCGAAATCCCTTTACTAGGAAAATGTGCCCACACCTAGCTGCTGTGAGTGTTGGCTGCTAATGCCTCAATGCTACCCCTGAGAACTGAAAGCAGGAGAAGCCAGGTTGTTTTTGTTCCAGAAGTTAAAATACTGCCCCACCCAGGCAGCCCACACCAATGACTGATTGACACTGGCCAGCCCCCTCTTGCCCCAAGAGGAAGGAACTGCAATAGCAGTAAGGACAATTCATTGTCCAGAGACCTTGGAGAATGTGGATCAGACCACTCAGCTTTTCCTTAGCCTACCCTGCCTTTCTTACTGCTCTCTCTCCTGAGAGACTCCCTCAGTAAAGCACTTGCAGGATAACCCTCATCTCAGGCTCTGCTTCTAGGGAATCTAACCCAAAACACCATTCAAGTTCACGTGCTCCCCAAATCTATCCATGAACCCTCCTGTGGACTCCAAGTTAAGCAGTATGGTCAAAGGAATCCAACCCTATAAATGACCACAGAGAGCAAAGCCCCACTTCCCCAGTCCCACAACAGAGGTGATATAAGCAAACCTTAAACCTTTATTGCAATAAGCACTGAGATTTGTGAGATGTCTCTTTCAGCTGTCAGTCTAGACTAACACAAGTACTTGCTATAATAATAACCATCCTGTTCTAAATGGGTCAGGCATGGTTCTAAAGGAGCTAGGAAGATTATCTCATATAATTTTCCTAATGCCGTAGGAAGCTAGTGCTGTTATTATTATTCCTCCTTTACAGAAAAGGAAACCAAAGCACAAACAGGTAAAGTAACTTGCCCAAGGCCACAGAATCATAAAGCATAAGAGCTGGGATTCTGAACCAGGCAACATGACTCTGAGCTTTGTGTGCTTGAGTGCTATTCTAGAGCATGTGCTAGGAGCTGGGGTTGACCAGGAGCCAGGACAGAGAATCCTGTGCACCCAACAGGCCAGCTCCTTCCCTCACTGTCAGGTGAGGGAGCTGGATCATAAACAAACCAGGAAATGCAATTAAACAAAAAGTACTTGTTAGAGTTGTGAGCCTGCTAGAACAAAGAGTATAGAACGCAGTGAGAATGTAGACTAGGACTTAATAGAGATTGGTGGTGCAGGTGGGCTGGTCAGGGAAGGTTTCCTTCAGGATGTGACATTTCAGCTGAGACTTGAAGAAGCACATATGTAGGCCCATAAGAGGTGGGTGGGAACAGTGAGCCACGTAGACTGACAGTACACGCAATGGCCCTGAGATGGGGTAAGAGTCTGGTGCCACTGGGGGACTTCAAGGTCAAGGTGGAGTGTCCAGTCCCTGCAGGTGAGTTAATTCTTCGGGGAGCTGATATGAGTGTCTCTATATTCCAATCTCCAGCACAGAAACAGGCCCACAGTAGGAAAGAGACATTTCATTTCCTTCAGCTCCTACTACATGCCAGAGCTTTTATCTAGACCTTAAAATCCTCAAATTGACTGATCGTGAGGTAGTTTTTACCTGTTTCTACTTCATAGGTGGGGAGACTGAAACTCAGGGAAGTATCCTGCTTCAGAATGCAAAATAGTTAACATTTATAAAGCACTTCGAGCCAAGGGCTTTACAGAAATTAACTCATTTAACAAGTTACTACCATTGTTCCCTCCTTGCAGAGGAGATATCCAGGCACCAGAAGGTTTTACAGAATCCATTCAAACTTACACAACTGGTAAATAACAGAGTGAGGACTCCACCCAAGGCATTCTGGGATCTAGAGTCAACCCCTAATCACCACTCAATAATGAGTAGTGCAGTAAGCTTTAGAACCCAGAACTGTCCTCCCCACTGTGCCACACTGCCACTGTCATGCTAGCTAGATGAATGAATGCCTAAATGCGTGCCCGCATGCAGGTGCACACACAGGTATGCGCAGGGAGGCAGCCTGGAGAGGGCTTAAGAGCTTGGCTTAGAAATCAGCAGCCCTGGATTCTAATTTCTGCTCTGCCAAGGCTGGGGATAGAGGGTGAGACAATCACCTCGGGGGCACGATTTACGGGGATGTCGAGAAAACTCAAAGGTCCAGATAAATCATACTTTAATATATATATTTTTTCAGACATAGTCTCACTCTGTCGCCCTGGGGTTGGGTGCCGTGGTCTCATCATACCTCACAGCAACCTCAAACTTTTGGACTCAAGCACTTCTCCTGCCTCAGCCTTCTGAGTAGCTGGGACTACAGGCAGCTGCCGCAAGGCCCAGATAATTTTTCTATTTTTTAGTAGAGACGGGGTCTCATTCTTGCTCAAGGCTGGTTTAATGCCATTTTTCAAAAGTCCAAATTAATGCAAACAATTATTGATAAACCAAGAAAAAAACTTTACATAAAGACTAGATTTTGCACCCTGCCCATGAATCCCTCCCTCACCCTCTCCACCCTGGTCTCAGCCCCACTGGGGCACTAGGATCTTGGGTGCATGGCTTTGCTCTTCGTGCCTCAGTTTCTTCCCCTGTAAAGTGGAGATAATAATTTTCCCCTTGAAGTTGCTGTGAAAACCAAATGAGAGGCAGTAAGTGAGAGCGTTTAGCCCAGATGACGATGATGAAGCCAACCATGGCAGCGGTGGTGATCACAGCCAAGGAGGAGGAAGAGTGGAAGGATGACATTTGTGCGTCAAAATTGAGGGTGGTCCACGCATATCCCCAGGCTTGTTTTTGCCTGCTAGGTGTGAGACGAAGTCCTAAATTTCTTAGAGCCACTTCCCTGGGAACCTGAAACCCCAGGTGGGGGGAGGAGGGAAAGGGCTGGCAAACCTTCAAATTGAGAAAAATGTCCTTTTTTGGTCATGTGAGCTGAACGACGCTCATTTTCTGGTGCCTTCGGAAACTATGTTGCAGCGACTCCTCAAGAAGGAATAGCAGCCTTCCCTGGGGCCCTAGAAGATTCGGGGACTCAACTGTGGACCCTTCAGGGCAGCCAGAACAGGAGTTGGGGGGGGGGTCACCCAGCCCAGGTGATGGGAGCTGCTCTGTGGGAAGGAAGCGGGGCCCCTGCCAGATCCATTAGCTTGGACGACTGTGCCCTTATCAGCCCCGCTGTGATCTCTCCCCATGCCCCACTCTGACCTCAGGAGTGGCCCCCAGCTCCCAGCCTCCAGCCAGGAACCCCAGTGCTCTCCCAGCCCCTCCCTCCCAATCTCCTTCAGCATCCACAGCCCACCCATCACCAACTCCTACATCTCCTATTCCCTTTATAGCTTTTGGATCTGCCAGCTGCCCACCACTCTCCCTTGCCACTCCTCCTGCAAAGCCCCCTCATCTGTCCCCTCTCTGCCTATAGGCTTGCTTCCTGCAGCTGCTGCTGCACATGGGGACACAGTGAGCTCCCTTAACCCACACACCAGGTGGCCTCACCTCTTGCTTAAAGTCTTTGCAAGGCTTCCTACTGTGTTCAAAAGAGTCCCAACCACAAGGCCTGGACTTCAAGGCTGTCCAGACCCCTGGCTCAAGGCAGCCTCAACAGCGCCTAGATGGGGTGCGCCAGGCAGCCCACAGGCAGAAGAGCAGGATGAATCCCTGTAGCCCCAGAGGCCACCACTTCTAGGTGGGGCCTAGAGACCCTGTCTCTAAAAAAACAACTTAGTAAAGCATCACAAGAATGTAAAATCAAGTATCCAACATACTCAATACTAAGATGAAGTCAGTAGATGAACTAATACACGCCCACACAAGGGAAAAACTCAACTCAATTCAAGTTGAGAGAAGAGGGGATGGGGGAGGGGGATTGGTGTGCTCCCACCTAATGGACACAAAGTGAGGGTCTATGCATACTTCCTGGGTGTGGGACACATCTACAACAGGGACCCTACCTAACAAATGCAAACAATGTAACCTAATTGTCTGTACCCTCGTAATAATCTTAAATTAAAAAGAAATAAATTTA